TTCTGGGACACACACACACACACACTGGCGCAAGTGGAACAATGTTCCGTGTTCGGTGCTAGGAAATGGCACTGTGTTCACAGGTGAGACTTGACTACAACAGTTTGCTTGATCACCTCTTGAAGGAAATACTGTACCACAAGCAAGTCAGCCATCACACATCACAGTATAGAGATCAATAAATATTATCAATAGTAACAATTTAACACTTTCACTCGGCGACAACTCAACATTGCATAGTCCGTTTAGTAGACAGACTTCCGGTGACAACGCAACATTGCGTCGTTGGTGGCGGCAAATTGGCGGCGGCTTCGGGAAGGGCGCGCCGCGGTTTTAGACATTATATACATATACTCCTGTAGGTAATTTCATTGTGAATACATTGATACCAAAATGAAAGACCTAGGGCCAGAATTGAGGTAATCAAATTGAAAAGAGTATACCCATTTTATTGCACTTTATTAGCATTCACGGGGGTAACGCTCCGCCACTTTCTGTTTACTGTGGGTGGTACGCCAGGCTTTTGGACTTTATATTTGCATATACTCCTGTAGGGAATTCTACTGCGAACACAATGATACCAAAATGAAAGACTTAGGACGAGAATTGAGATGTCCAAAGTGAAGAGAGAGTACACATTTTATTGCTCTTGCCCGCTCCCGGGTAACACGCTCTCACTTTCTCGCCGGACTTTTGGGCTTTATATGAATTTAGTCCTGTAGAGAATTCTATTGTGAACACATTGATACCAAATTGAAAACCCTAGGACAAGAATTGAGATGACAAAGTTGAAAAGAGTATACACTTTTCAGTATTACTGCGCTCTCTAATGTAATGAGAGGTGCCTTGAGGTGGCGCAGCGCTCTCTTTCTGGTCCACTTTCATCTTGTCGGCGGGTGGAGCGCGCTGCGGTTTTTGACATTATATGCATATACTCCTGTTGGAAATTCTATTGCGAACACATTGATACCAAAATGAAAGACCTAGAACGAGAACTGAGGTGACCAAAGTGAAAAGAGAGTAGACATTTTATTGCTCTCGCATACTCCTGGGTAATTTGCTCTCACTTTCTCTGTTTGCTGCAGGTGGTAAGCCGGGCTTTTGGAGTTTATATGCATTTAGTCCTGTAGAGAATTCTATTGCAAGCACATTGATACCAAATTGAATATCTTAGGACAAGAATTGAGGTGACAAAGTTGAAAAGAGTATACACTTTTCAGAATTACTGCGCTCTCACAGTGAATGCCCAAACCAACCTGGGGTAGTGCAGCGCTCGCACGCCCAGAGTGCCAAAGTGTTAATTTAACACTTTCACACTCCAGTGCCTCCCACTCGAGTCATTATTTTTTCTCCCAATTCCGAGCGAGTGATTCTTGCTTTTGTCACAAATTAAAATATTTATAAAAAATTCCATTTTTATCCAATCAACTTCGGGGTGGTTTCAAAATGAGTGCCATTGTCTTCCCGCTTTCTTCCATATGTCCTCATGGCATCTTGGGTTGTTGGCCCATGTAGTAGGCCTATTGTTTACGTGACCGCGCTTGTGACCACTACGCCTTTCTCTCGCGTCTCAAACTTGTGCACATTTCGGCTATTATCGGCAGTAATATTTGTTTCTGTGTCTTTTCAACACATTATATACACTACACGATGGAGCAGAGCAGTTCCACGCCGATAGGAGCAAAGCAATCAACTAAAATGATAAGATAACTACAGTATGCTTTACAAGAAGTTCAGCCAAGTGAGGCTGACACCAACAAAGATCCTTGGTTTGGTTGAAGCATTCTCCGATATTAAGTCAGATATTGAGGAGGAAGTACCGCAAAGTGATTTCAATAGTGACAATTTTGATACAGAGACAGCAGATGATGATGATGTTTCTACGAGTGAGGAGAGTGAGGATTCTGAGGAGGAGAGCGAGGCACGTCCACAGCCTCCTACTCCAAAGGGTGCTGCACGTACTCAACAAAAAGATTCTGGCACTACCTCGAGTACTGACAACACTCCACCACCTGTAGACAGTTTCACTGGAACACCAGGCATGACTATACTGACACCTACCTCTCCTCTAGAATTTATACAATTATTTCTGACTCGAGAGTTGATTGAATATTTTACATATGAAACGAACTTGTATGCATCACAAATTATGCAGAACGCTTCCACGAACATAATGAGTATGTGGGAGGAAGTAACTGTAAAGGAAATGGCAAGATATTTGGGTCTGTGCATGTTGATGGGCGTTTCAAAACTCCCAACGATGAGAATGTACTGGCAAACAAGCAGGCTCTGGCATGTGCATAGCTTCAATACTTTTATGACGTAAGTTTGAACAGTGATGAAATATCTTGCAAGCAAATTTGCATAAATCTACATTTCTACGAAAGAATTGAGTTTGGATGAAGGCACAATGTCATGACGTGGCCGATTATCTTTCAAGGTTTATAATCCAAATAAGCCGGATAAGTATGGAGTAAAACTGTACATGCTTGCTGAGTCAACATCTGGCTACATACATGACTGAAGTGTATGCCAGAATTGGTAAGACAACAATAGAGATGGTTTTGGGGTTCATTGAGCCCCTAATGTACAAGTTATATCATCTGTATATGGATAACTGCTATAACTCTGCCAACCTCACAGAAAAGCTACGTGAACATGGGGTTTACGCGTGAGGAACCATCAGATTGCAGCGTGGCGCACCCAAGAATCTGTAACAGCATGCAAAGGGTAAAATTGCATTGGATACAACCCTATTCCGCCACAAGGATAATACATTTATAATCCTGTGGAAAGACAAGCGAATGGTCTCACTAATCCCAAACTGCCACAATGCTGACACACAGCAAGTTGAACGAAGGAAAAGAGTTCAGAAACGTGACGGAACTACTTCAGTGCAACAAGTAACTGTAAACAAACCAACTGCAATATGTGACTGATGATCATTTTGACCAAATGGTAAAATATTACCATTTCACACGAAAATGTCACAAGTGGACCAAGAAAATAACCTTTTACTTTCTGCAAATGACTCTCCATAATGCATTTGTGTTGTACTAGAACTACAGCAGTGATCCCAGGAAAATGACCTTGCTCCAGTTTCAGTTTTTCCAGTTTCAGGGACCAGTTTTCCTGGTCCCTGTTGAAGTGGGAAACTGACGAGTGGCCTCTCCAAAATAACACCATGGCATATGCTCCTGATATAAATTATGATGCAAGTACTTCTGATGCTGCTAATGTTGCAACACCCGAACCATCAGATGTGAGGCGACCTCTATTTCCTTCGACACCTCAAGGCCACGACTCCTCATCTGACTCGGAACACGAGACGGCTCCTAGTACCAGTCGTCCTCCTAAGAAAAACCCACGTATTGTTGATTCATCAGAGCATCTCAATAAAACCTTGACCCATGCCATCATTTCCCTGACAAACCGTGAAGGTGTCGTGTTTGCTACAAGTCAGGAAAAAGGAGGGACACTAAGTATCAGTGCAAAACATGTGAAGTTGCACTGTGTGTTACACCCTGCTACACAAAATACCACCGCAAGAGGGTATTTTATACCAGCCCTAGATCTCGTTCTTTATTTCCTTTCCTCATAATTTGCAAGTTGTGTGTTGTCTATTTTCTCCGATTCCACATTCCATAACATGGCATTTATTCACATTAAATACGTGTGCGTGTCCACACTGCTTCAATGAGTTGCTGTTTTCTCAGGTATGTTACTGCGACAGGAGCTAGAAAACTAACGCTGTCAAGTTGGCTGTCAACAAAATGGTTATACCTTTCATAATAGCTGAACTCGCAACCCATTTGATTCATGCTATACAGCAGTATTAGCTATCTCTGACAGCAATGATCGAAAGATGGGATAACAAAGTATTTTTCTCATTAATCATTGTGTATAATTCAAATAACATGCCCCTGGGAAGTTGATATCATCACTTGTTAAGCGTGTTAACAAAGTCCTCTGACTTGAGTGGAAGGTCTATTTCCACTTTTACAGTTACTTTATTGCCAAAAACCCTACTCGGGAAAGGTATGGATGACTCCCTTACTTGGAATATATAAGAGCAGAAGACTCGATGATGATTATTTTAGCACGTGAATCTACAATGACTTTTAAGACTCAATAGACAAGGGCAGAGATCAGAGGATTATCACTAGACACTGTACAATTCATAGCTTGTAAGAGCACAATCGACTTGAGAATGGTCCAGGACGGATCGAAACGTTGTCGTCCCTTCACTTTCTAGTGTGTGGTTTGGTCATCATAGCTTGTAGTTTACCTGGCCTAGGGTGAGTCTAGTCCATATCAAAGTTACTTGGGTTCTGTCAACATCCATACCTGGTCTATTGTCAGTGTCCTCTTCTGTCAAGCCTCCAAATCTATTTTGGATCGTTACTATGTAAACAAGGCCACAAATCCTGGTTCTCTGGGTAAGGTTAAGAGGAAAATGTGAGATTCCCTTGATGATGTGGCATGGACAGTCTAAGCTTCATAGTTCTGAGATCTGGTAGTGTTGGAAATGTTATTGTGGCTTTGTGAAAACTGCCTTGGATGCTCTTTATTTTGCCACAATTGACTACTTAATTGAATCTGGTTAACCAGGTTAACCAGATTCAGTTAACTCATCTGAACAATAAGAATAGCGCCTGACAGCTGGGTGGACAGCGCTTCGGATTCGTAGTCCTGAGGTTCCAGGTTCGATCCCCAGTGAAGACAGAGACAAATGGGCAAAATGTTTCTTTCACCCTGATGCCCCTGTTACCTAGCAATAAACAGGTACCTGGTAGTTAGACAGCTGCTACGGGCTGCTTCCTGGGGGTGTGTAACAAAAAGGAGGCCTGGTTGATGACCGGGCCGCGGGGACACTAAGCCCCAAAATCATCTCAAGATAACCTCAAGATATGGCAATAACTGCGGCCTCATTATAGTACGAGACCAGATATATCATCTTCCTGAACAATTTTGTCCTCACTGTGGACCACTGTACTTACTAATAAGCTGTTCTTGCAGGGTTGCATCTTCTCCATCACCAGCAGAGTACATTCCTGAGCTAATTGCCTGCAGCCTCTTCTCTGCAGCCATCAAGGCATCGTGATCTCTCTGGTCCTGTGCTCGCATTGTATCAAATGTGCCCTGTAGTTTATCATTTTCCTTCTGTTTATTTTCCTTAGCTTTGATATCCTGAAAAATTTTAAGAAAAATAATACATAGTCTTGCCTGATTACAAATGGCTTCCTATTCTGACAAAACAAAATAATACAAAGCCATTCAAGATTAAACAAAGTGTCAGTTTTAATTTTCAACAAAAATGGTCATATAACCAACGAGCAGAGCGGGGGAGCAATTTATCTGGCCGAGACTAACTCGGCCACTACAACAACGCCTCTGGGGATCGCTCATCTAACCAAACACAATATGAAGTGATCTGCCTGGGTCATGTGGCTCTATTGCTGGCTCCATCATGTGTTGTGATGGCTTGTGCCAGTCTCAGCCATTATATCGTCTACACTGGGTCCTGACCCCTCATCTTATTATGCACTGATTTAGTCTTGTGGCGGGAAAATTTTCAAAGTATCAAGTCACCCCCAACTCCTAGCATTACTTACACATATCAAGACTTACACATACACCATGAGCGTAGCTCTCATCCTGTAACTACACTTAGGTAATTACACTTAGGTAATAACATAAATTTGTTAACTTACATCAGCCAAAGATTTCTCAAGCTGGACTTTTTTCTTCTCTTCTGCCTTTAAGGTTTCTTTCAAATTTTTCAGAGAAGCAGACAGTTTTACATCTGATTTCTCCTTCTCTTTCAGAGATTTTTCTAATTCTTGCAGATGACCTCCTGTCTCCTGTTGAAAAACAAAAAAATATTTTCAATCAAATGTTATTAGTCTTCGATGCATTTGTTAACAACTATTAACAACAGGGTGGCATACTGCACCGAGGCAGGGAGCAGCTGTACAAGCTCATGATAGTCAGGGGAGGGCAGGGTGGCATACTGCACCGAGGCAGGGAGCAGCTGTACAAGCTCATGATAGTCAGGGGAGGGCAGGGTGGCATACTGCACCGAGGCAGGGAGCAGCTGTACAAGCTCATGATAGACAGGGGAGGGCAGGGTGGCATACTGCACCGAGGCAGGGAGCAGCTGTACAAGCTCATGATAGCCAGGGGAGGGCAGGGTGACGTACTGCACCGAGGCAGGGAGCAGCTGTACAAGCTCATGATAGCCAGGGGAGGGCAGGGTGACGTACTGCACCGAGGCAGGGAGCAGCTGTACAAGCTCATGATAGCCAGGGGAGGGCAGGGTGACGTACAGCACCGAGGCAGGGAGCAGCTGTACAAGCTCATGATAGCCAGGGGAGGGCAGGGTGGCATACTGCACCGAGGCAGGGAGCAGGTGTACAAGCTCATGATAGCCAGGGGAGGGCAGGGTGACGTACTGCACCGAGGCAGGGAGCAGCTGTACAAGCTCATGATAGCCAGGGGAGGGCAGGGTGGCATACTGCACCGAGGCAGGGAGCAGCTGTACAAGCTCATGATAGCCAGGGGAGGGCAGGGTGACGTACTGCACCGAGGCAGGGAGCAGCTGTACAAGCTCATGATAGCCAGGGGAGGGCAGGGTGGCGTACTGCACCGAGGCAGGGAGCAGCTGTACAAGCTCATGATAGCCAGGGGAGGGCAGGGTGACGTACTGCACCGAGGCAGGGAGCAGCTGTACAAGCTCATGATAGCCAGGGGAGGGCAGGGTGGCATACTGCACCGAGGCAGGGAGCAGCTGTACAAGCTCATGATAGCCAGGGGAGGGCAGGGTGGCATACTGCACCGAGGCAGGGAGCAGCTGTACAAGCTCATGATAGCCAGGGGAGGGCAGGGTGGCATACTGCACCGAGGCAGGGAGCAGCTGTACAAGCTCATGATAGCCAGGGGAGGGCAGGGTGGCATACTGCACCGAGGCAGGGAGCAGCTGTACAAGCTCATGATAGCCAGGGGAGGGCAGGGTGGCATACTGCACCGAGGCAGGGAGCAGCTGTACAAGCTCATGATAGCCAGGGGAGGGCAGGGTGGTGTACTGCACCGAGGCAGGGAGCAGCTGTACAAGCTCATGATAGCCAGGGGAGGGCAGGGTGGCATACTGCACCGAGGCAGGGAGCAGCTGTACAAGCTCATGATAGCCAGGGGAGGGCAGGGTGGCGTACTGCACCGAGGCAGGGAGCAGCAGTACAAGCTCATGATAGTCAGGGGAGGGCAGGGTGGCGTACTGCACCGAGGCAGGGAGCAGCTGTACAAGCTCATGATAGCCAGGGGAGGGCAGGGTGACGTACTGCACCGAGGCAGGGAGCAGCTGTACAAGCTCATGATAGTCAGGGGAGGGCAGGGTGGCATACTGCACCGAGGCAGGGAGCAGCTGCACAAGCTCATGATAGCCAGGGGAGGGCAGGGTGGCGTACTGCACCGAGGCAGGGAGCAGCTGTACAAGCTCATGATAGCCAGGGGAGGGCAGGGTGGCGTACTGCACCGAGGCAGGGAGCAGTTGTACAAGCTCATGATAGCCAGGGGAGGGCAGGGTGGCATACTGCACCGAGGCAGGGAGCAGCTGTACAAGCTCATGATAGCCAGGGGAGGGCAGGGTGACGTACTGCACCGAGGCAGGGAGCAGCTGTACAAGCTCATGATAGCCAGGGGAGGGCAGGGTGGCGTACTGCACCGAGGCAGGGAGCAGCTGTACAAGTGTCCCAGCTGCGTCATACTGGTGCTAGGAAGTTGGAGAAAAGACACTTCCAGCCTAGAGTGATTACAGAAAGGTCACTCAAACAATTAGACCTTTCCAAGCCCTATTTGTCATCATGAAGACAAGTAGCAATACGATAAATACACTTGTTTCCCCATGTGCTGTCTCTCTTATCCACACAACAGTCAACACTTGCTTCTCAGCCCGTTACCCTATCACACAGTATGCCATCTGACTTGTTTCCCATGGAGTGTAGTATAAGCTCCTCGCACAGTGTTCCTTATGTGGTCCTCAGGCGACACTTTTCTATCTACAACCACCTCAGCTGAGGTGGTTGCCGGTCGGCCGAGCGGACAGCACACTGGACTTGTGATCCTGTGGTCCCGGGTTCGATCCCGGGCGCCGGCGAGAAACAATGGGCAGAGTTTCTTTCACCCTATGCCCCTGTTACCTAGCAGTAAAATAGGTACCTGGGTGTTAGTCAACTGTCACGGGCTGCTTCCTGGGGGTGGAGGCCTGGTCGCGGACCGGGCCGCGGGGACACTAAAAAAAAAAAAAAAAAAAGCCCCGAAATCATCTCAAGATAACCTCATAGATCTCTTTCTTTATAACAATTCTTTTAAGCTTTTTCACATATTTGGTAGGTTGTATGTGGTCTATTTTCTCCTGTTCCACACTCATTACTGTGGCATTTATTCACATTAAATTCCATTTGTTAAGTGTTGCTCCATACATTTATCTTGTCCAGATATATACGATAAAAAAATCTTGTCCAGATATATGCTGTACATCATATACGATAAAAAAAATATAAAATAAAACCGCATTGGAAATACATATAACAAATAATTGAAAATATATTAGTGGCAACTCGCAGTGCTTGAATGGCCCCCACGACCGCCTCTAGGAGCTTCACGCACGGGCGACCAGCCCATGACGCCCCATTCTCCACGTCCCCACAGCCAAAGTAGGTGGAATTTTTTAGTTGTTTTCTGGGCAGAGCCCCGTCGGCTCCCCGGAGCTTTACCAGGCTGATATGCTAATGTCAGACTTTGGCATCGGTCATGTGTATGGAGTTCTAGGGCCTACCGGGGACCACGGCCAGAACCTGGCCCCCCCTCAGAGAGGCAAGGGAAGCAATGGCCTATAGAAACCCCTGTGTGGTTGGAAGCATTATATGTCTGCCATCGACCGGGTCAAGCATCCAGAAAGGTAAGCATTCCAAAACACACCCCTATTCTGGTGAAAATTGCTACTAAAAGCCGAACTAGTGGATAGAACTCCCCAACAGAAAACAAGCAAACTAGTATGACGTCACACATCACCGCGCCGCTGTCTGCGCAGCTCCCCCCTCCCCAGGAGGGGAAAGGGGGAGCCCCAGACCTCCCACGCCAGCTATCCACCCATCAGTTCTTCGGCTGATGCTACGGGCACCGGTTGTGTGCTCCGGCTCCAGTAGTTGTTTCAGCACTGTACCTAGTGTGGGGTCTGTCTTCTAGGTGGTGCGTGAACCGGGAGTGAGTCTCCAGTACTCGGGTTGCATGCGCCTAGGGTTCCCTTCCCTAGGTGCCCTGTAAGTACTGCCCTTGGGGCTTGGGGCCACCTTCCACAAGTTCCTTGGGTTCTGCCCCTGCTAGTCCGTTTACTGCTTGGTTTTCGGCCGCTCTTTGTGTGCTCGGGTGTTCTGTCTCCCTCGTTCGCCTTAGGGTAAGGAGCAGTTTTGCACTGGTGGGGCGCAGGGTACTGCGCAGCTTGTCTCCACCTAACATGGCGGCCGGCTCTGTTCCGCTTGGGTACGCTGTCCTCTTGTGGGGTTTTCCTTTTCTTTTTCTTTTTTTCTACCTGGTGGTGGGTCTGCCTTCGTTCTTGCCCCTTGTGTCCTTTGTGCTCTGAGTATTTTTCTGGTGGTTACCCCCTGCTAGGTCCCTGTGAGTGCACACGTCCCGGGGGTTCAGCTCTTAGAAAGTTGTTTGGTAGCTTTGGGCGCCGGTTAGCAGTACCCTGCCTGGGATTACCTGAGCGCGAGTCCTCTTATAGTAAACGCTCGGGACCCTGGGAAACCCCTGGGGGCGCGCGGGTCCAATGGATGCGACCCCAGAGTCCCCCCCCCCCTCGCTTCCAGCGAGTTTGAGGGTTGCTCTCACCTCTTGTCTCAGGGTGACTCTGTTTTGCCTCCGTCTGCTGCCTGTGGGGTTGGTGACACCTTTGACCCGGAGTCCTGGTTGTTGCTCGTTGTGGCTCGGTTACCCAGTTGTGCTAAGCAGGTGCGGACAGCAGGGGCGTTGCGCTTTGAGCCTTGGTGGTGGTAACGCTCTCGTTTGTTTGCTTCCCGGGAGCCCCGGGGCTGCCTCGTTTTGGTTCGTGTTGGGACTTGGGGGTGTTGGTTGCTTAGGTTCCTTCCACGCCCCCTTGTCTTTCCCCTGGATCCCCCCCTTCCTGCCTACATCCGGTTCCTTACCGTCTGTGGGTTCGGGGCGGGATTTGATGGTTTTGAGACTCTGGCAGTCTCAGGGAATTCCCCTTCCGGGGTAGTGACGGGGGAATTTGAGCCTATTCCTCCAGCCGTGTTGTAAGAGTCTGCCAGTGGGCTCGCTCCCTTAGTATTTTCGAGGCTGCCCCGGTTTTTTGGTACGGCCGGGGCTTTGGGAGGACGGTTCGGCCCCGGGGCCTGTCGTGTAGGTTCCCGTGGCTGGGGAGGGGCTGACTTGGGGGCCTTGGCCCCGTAGGACCCCGTGGGGGGGGGTTTCTCCCCCTCTACGCTAAGCTTGTGGTTACGCGGAGTGGGGTTTTCCTCCCCACTCGCCGTATGTGTTGTTGGGCGTTGGCCCCTCCCTGGGCTCAGTTCCTTGGCCTTTGAGTTGGTTGGTTCCGTCCTGTGGGTGGATGCTACCCCCCCTTTTTAGGACGGTGTCTTCGTCATGTTTCCACGTTCTTGGAGTTCTACGTGACTTCTGGTCTCGGGTGCGACTGTGCTTTTGTGTGCCTTCCTGACTGGTGTTTGCTTCTGTGTTCTCGAGGGTTCGGGAAGGTTTTTCGCTACTTCCCGTATTATTGGAACATCTGTCGGCTCCTAGTCCGGGTTGCCATATTGGGCTACTTGTAGCCCAGTTGAGCTACTTG